AAGAACTGACTGCGTTACAGCACCCGCTACTTGTTGAGAGTAAAAGCGATACACGCTTTCACGTCTTTTTTTAGAAAAAAAAACAGCGACTTTTTTTTAGAAAAAAAGTCGCTAAGGGGTCTGAAAACTCGCTAAATATAGCGATAAAGTCGTTAAGTTGGCAACACTGCGCACACCGAGCTGCAGGTGATGCCTTCAGGGCAAGCCCGGAAATTTAACGATCAGACAAGAACTACGATGCATTCAAAGAACCCTGTACTTCTGAATGCTGTAAATCTTACCAGGGTTACATGAGCATCATTTAAAATGCTACAACCTACCTGAGTATTGTTGCTGACCATGCCCATCCTAAGACCTTTTCTCCTTGGTCTACAGTGGTGAAAAGAAACCTGGAGTTGTTTGATTGATTTTTATTCTGAACACTAAAGAAAATGGTGCTCAGTCAATAAGAAAAATGAGATTTAAGTTATCAGCCTGCTGTCAGTCAGTGAAAAGTCAACCTTTCGCATGCTTTAGTTTGTTTTGAGCAGCAACCCCTCCCAGGTGGTGATATAACTGTTTTAAGTTTATCCAGAATGCACGTTAAGTTTTGAATTATGAGGAAACCACTCAAACATCCAGAGTAGACCTTGATTTGAGTCCATTTCAAAGTAAATGAAGAGAAAACCAAGCATCAAAACTTCCACAAAATTTTGATTTCTGGTTGACTTCCAGTTGCATTATGGCTTCTCTGAACACCTGCCCTTGAGCCAGGCAGCAGCTGCTCCTGCAGGGCTTCTTTGAGCCATTAGCATGTTAGCCTGTTGCTTCAGCTGCTATAATTAGCAGCCATGTCCTTGCTGCTAATCTCCCCCTGCAGCCTTAAACAGAGCACAGCTGCTCCAATCACATGGTTGTACTTCGTTACCATGGCAAACTAATTATCTTGTTAATGACAGGCGAGAAAGAAGAAGTGTCGAAAATAGGAAATGTGTATGCATGGGCGCAGATGTGACAACCTCTGTGTGTGTGCGTGTTTAATATCATTATGGGGACAAACATGCTTTCTGGGGACATGGTGATTAACTCAAACTTAACTTTTAAAGAGTCTACATGGGTGTACTGTGAAAGACTTGGAGACGAACCAGCCACGTCCTCAGAATGAACAAGGATGCCATTAGAGAGGTGGGCAAACAAAGACTAGAAAGACCAAAGCAGACAGAGAAAGACAGCTGAAGATGAGATAAAGCAATTGGGTCATATGTGGGCACCTATTGGGAGGCTGGCTAAGGAAACGCCTAATGAGCAACTGGAGTAATGGGTGAAACCAACCTCTGATTTCATTGGGAACTTGCGGAACAGCCAACTGTAAAGACTGAGAACATGACTCTGGGGAGATGAGTTGAAAAGAGGCTCTGTCTATTAGTGGACGTTTTTGAACTTCATTGTGTGTTTCTTCTGATCGTTTGTGGACATTATGTGCACAGCTGGTTAAAAGGATTGGCTCCATAGCCATTTCCTTTGTATAGCTCACTGGGTATAACTAAGCTTTTGTTAGACTTCAAGCATCCATCAGTCAGTATTAACTTGCCAACTACTCTGTACTACTACTGTCAGGCAGCTTGTTTCAGATTAGAAAGTTCTTAACAAGAAAACCTGTAACAACCAAAAACCAACACATACTGTTACTTGGTGTAAAGAAATATTTCACACTCAAGACATTTTGTGCCCTTTGTTAAATTACAGCCTAACAAAGACATAGTTTCTGTTTGTGCTGCATATTTCCTCGTTCTGTGGAAACGTGTCTTGTGTGTCCCACACCCAGCAGCAGGTTACAGAGTCTAAATGCATCTTTTCTGGAAGCATTTCGACATCAATAATCTGTGTGGTGTAAAAATCCCCAAAAAAGCCTCCAGCTACCAGAGGGCAGGAACAGCTGTGCTTTCAGTCAACATGCCCAGGATTCTGTGAGTCACGAGGGAGGCAACAATGGGAAAAATGTCCAATCTTTACACCTTGTTGGACACGCCCATTGATTGTTACTGGAAAGTTACAGCTCTGTTCATACCAAGAATGCCTTTAAGGTTTTAAAAACTGAGCCTAAAGTGTTCTTGAGACCCAATATTACAAAAAGAAACAAAGGAATCGCTAAGATTTCGATCATGACTCTTTCATAGGAAGAAATCCAAACAGTGTAGCAACCTATTAATGACTCGCCTGGTGCTGTGGATAGATCATCTCAGACTTTGTCATCACATGATGGTGTTTGTCTCCGCCCACCAAGAACTACCATTACTTTCATTATGAACTTTTTTTTGTTAAACACCTGTCCTGTCAGGCAGTTGTAGCAAGCAGAAGCATGTTCTGAATAGTTTGTTGTGCCAAACACATTTGCTTTCCAAAGAGAAGCATTAAAAACAGTCACCCTCTATTGTCCTTAAGCTAATGTGTTTATATTACTCTAAGCAGTGTTGCTAGCTACCAGATAGCATATCATTATTGAGGTTTTGCAGTCATGTGACTACTTACCACACATCAATAATTTTTTTCCACTATTTTGGACATGAAACCGTGTGGAGTTAAGACTCCAAGAGTCTAGTCTGCAACCATCTGGCAACCACTTATTGCTAGAGAAGAAAATACTTTTGATTGCTTTAGTCCAGTGGTCCCCAACCCCCCGGCCTCGGGCCGCGAGAGTTGAGGCTCAGGTGTGAAATGTATGGTTTTCAGGGTTTTTATCGTTAACTCTGTTTTCCTGGGTCTTTTCACGTGTGTTATGAATAAATCTTTTTTTCGGTACCGGTACTAGTTTTATTTTGTTGTATTTATCTGCAACACCTTAAAGGCCGGTCCGTGAAAATATTGTCGGGCATAAACCAGTCCGTGGCGCAAAAAAGGTTGGGGACCGCTGCTTTAGTCGACTAATCTGAAAATACTCAGAAACTATTCACTGAGCAGGAGTGAAACTGGAATTAATAACATTTAAAGTAATGCTGAGGATCACATTTTACTTTGAAAAGTAAATTTTCTTCCATACAAATTACAGATGGCCGCTGCGATCGGCATCCAGTCAAAATCTTAATTGGGCAATAAACCAATACAGCCAAAGGTTCTACTATTTTAGGCACTAAAGAACTTGAAGAAGCATGTTGGTTTCATTTTTTTCCCCAGACAAAACAAACAGCCAGTAAATGGTTAATGTTGATTAGTTATCATAGATCCTCTTGTTTAATGTGAATTTGGAGGTTTGACGGGTTTTTATGGCGGCAATTAAGATATTTTGGTCCAACAGAGTAAAACATGAGAAGTACCGTGCTGGTTTTAGGCAACAATAATGGTCATTTTTGAGCTGTCTGATCATTTGTATACTTGAGAATTCAATTAATTATTAATATCAGGTGCATTTTGAATGAAAACTATTACTTTGTGTGAAGGACCTCCAGTAACTACAGGCTCTAAAAGTAATTCTGTTCAGTCTCTACAAGGCCACAGCACAGAGGATCTGATGGCTGATATTATGAAGAAGAGGGGTCAATCTTCTCTTAACTTGCTGCTTCTTGGCATCTGTTCTTCACATGGCTCTCATAAGTAAATTTAAATGTAAATAAAGACTATTTTTTACACCTGTGACACCTTTACATCCTGTGCGTTCTGTATTCTAACACTTTGTGTTCTCGGCGCTAATCTAAACAGTGCTAATAACGCCGAGCTGGTTGCCATGACAGCGTGCCTCACCGTTTCCTGGCTCCTTGTCGCATGTGATGTTACGTCCTCCTCCTTGAAAACTCTGCATTCATTAATACTTTGGAGACTGTGTTGTCATGGCAACCCCCTTCTAATCGCTCAGCTTCCTCCACAGACTCCTGCAAGTCATTAAGTGTCTGATGGATTTCTACCTGAGATGGAAGAAGAGGAGAAACACTCAAACTCCAAGCTGAATTGTTCTCTGTTTCCAGACTGGAATAAAAAGTTTGTATAATTCTAACTAGCTTGAAATGGATTTATTAGGACCATTTATTCTTTAACACAATATGGACTCTTAGGCAGATGTCTTGCGTTGTCCAGCCTTCTAGAAAGACATTCAATCCTCTTCTTTGCACATTTCTTCTTTTTGTACTATTTTCTGTCACGATGATCCCACATTGGTCCAGTAATGTTGAGGTCCAGGTTCTGGGGAGGCCAATCCAAGACTTTTCCTGCATTGGCAACTCAAATTTGATTCTTACGTGCTTTGTTTCTAGTTTCCATTTCTTACCTCATTTTCCTTGATTACTTTCAGCTGTTTTTTGTTACTGCGGAGTTTCCACTCTACAGAGGCACCGGGGTTGTCAGACAAAGTCTCAGTGTGCTTGTGCACCTTGTGGGGTTGTACTACCTTTTAGTTTAACTTCTAAATAACTCTTAGTGTTCTCATGTTTTGTGCCTTTTTTCCACTTTTTGTTTGCAATTTAAAAGTGGGCACAAAGAGGCACATCTATCCCATTCATTACACTCCGACTCACAAAAAGACAGAAACCTAAAGACGAACAATAAAACTGTTTTATTAATAATAATCCTTTTCTTGCACCACAATAAAATTTAACAAAGGCTCACTAGAAAAGTCAACTTCTGTGTTCTGTACAGTAGATACAGTACGTTGTAAAACTGGCTGCGGCGTGGCACATCAGCGCATTTAATCCCCCCCCCCACCCCAAAAAAACAACTATTATTCAAAGACTTTGCACATTATTTACAGATAAGATCCACAATAAAAACCAGCTGGCAAATATCACAGAAATACAGCGCAGCTTCAAGCTATCAGCCGCTAACCTCTGGCTGCAAAGACTCCCGAAGAGAACCTAAATGGCTAATGGGATTGTACATTAACTGGCTAGTGTAGCATTGAGCTAGCAAGATAGCCAGGCTATAGTTACTGTCCCCTCCAAAATAAAAACAAACAAACAAAAAACCCAACTGGTTGCTACCGGAGGTTATTTAAATCAAACATCATGAGCGTGACTGCAGCCAGTGACAATATTTAGAAAAACAAAACAAAGCAATTCATGCTCTTTTGATCTCAATAACAACAGCTGCTTCTCACTCAATCGCCTTTCTGTCCACTTCCCCTTTGCGTTCTTTCATACTTCCTGCCTACCTACCTGCGTGTCTATCTGAGCAGCTAGCTCTGAGCTAGCTTTGTAAAGGAATGCACTTTGGTAGAATCAACCAAATGCCCTGGGTGTTAGTGACAGCGGTTATAATCATAATAACTGAGCGATCTGAGGTACGAATATTTAAATTAAAAAAAACACAAAACACAAAAAAAAAAACCCTTTAAAACCACATTAATGCTAATGCTAACAGCTTGCACGAGCACTCTCTGTGCAGAGCTCAACGCTAGCAGGTAAAAATGTGCTACTAGCATTTATTTAGCAATAGGCTAGTGTTAGCATCACTGCAAAGAAAACAAATGTCAGTGCAGCAGCTAGCGGCTGGGCGCTAGCAGTCGAACGGCTAGTGTTAGCTTAGCCCTCTTGTCAGCAGGTGTCACTGGTCTGTACCACAGTGACAGATGGCGACAGTGGGCTGATATGTGTCTATACATTGTGCAGCCATGTTATACATCCCCTGCCCACCCCAAAAATCATCTTATCACACACACACACACCTGTGGATGTCGGTACAGGTTAGCTTAAAGCTACTTTGGCTGGTAAATTGGCATGTTCTGTAATGCAGCAGATAGCAATAACAGGGAAACCATTCACAGGTGGATACAGGTACTGAAATATGGTGGCACTAATTTAGTATTACTACATCGTTTTTTGATTCATTCACAACTCCAGGCCCCATATGGTCTTACCTATGGCAGGAAGTTTGCCATTTATAGTGGGTCAGGACTCAGAGTGACTATACAGAAAGCTATAAATCTGACTTGCTTACAGTCAAAAGTATTAAGAATCAAGAGTAAAACCTCTAAAATGTATCCAGGGCTTGGGATTTGAGCAAAACAGCGGTTTCCTAGATCAAAATGAAAGCCGGACTGATTTTTCACAAGAACACCTCCACAGGGTCAAATGTGGGCGTTTTGGGGTTTGTGTCCACTGTTTGAGCTTTCTGCTGCACTATTGTTTGCTCTGTAAACTGTGCTAAACATGTGTTTGAGTCTCCACTGACCACAAAACCATTGTATCAGATCAGTGAAGACAAGCTGGGGTTTAGAGGTCAAAGGTCACACGGGTTCACAAGGTGTCTTTGGGCTTTACTGAAACAAACCAGGAACTGATCAGCATCCAGACTCTTAAGCCATTAAATCTCACCATGCTGGTGTGAGTGGCACCAAAGGATACTGACGGACTTCCTGGGAGGTTTTGTTGTTCATTTTTGTTATTGATGCTATGACATCACCTCTTTAAGAGTGTGTGTGTGTGTGTGTGTGTGTGTGTGTGTGTGTGTGTGAGAGAGACATGGCAAGAGATACTGAAGGCACACAGTTATGAGCTCTCTGCACTTCATCTCACTGAATTAAAAAAAACAAACAAAAAAAAAAACTCAACCAATCAAGTCCTCAGAAAAAAAAAACAAACCAACATCAGAGAGGATCCCCCCCTTTATCCTCCTCTTCCTCCTCCAGAAGGGGGACAAAGCTTCCCCTGAGATGGGTGGAGCAGGTAGTGTCTGGTTTTTTTTTTTTTGTTTGTTTGTTTTTAAACAAGAGTTACTTATGAGCATCGTCGTCCACTTCCTGCGTGCTACATTACATCACCAGGCTGATGGTGCACACAGCCATCTGTGGGCCAGCTTTTCTCCTAGTCGTCATCTTCCTATAGTTTTAGAGTGCGTCAGATACAGCTGTGTGTGTGTGTGTGTGTGTGTGTGTGTGTGTGTGTGTGTGTGTGTGTGTGTGTGTGTGTGTGTGTAAAAGTATGCAGGGTTGAGGGAACAAGCTTTAGAAAAAACCCAAACAAACAAAAAGACCCTTTATACTGCGCACGCGCATACACGCACAAGTACATACATCCAGCTCACACACATTCAAGTATACAGTATAAACTGCACGTAATACATAGATTAGATTAATAAATATTAACGTGTCGCAAATAAATAAAAATCATCTCCCGTCCCATTATAAATTTTTCAATAATTAACTCTGATCCGTGTATCAGCAAATGTACTTCTTTTTGGATCTATATAATCAATAATCATTAAATTAATCTGTAATTTTACTGCGTCATTCAGGGCCAGACGCAGTGGCTCACTATGCTTAGGTCCCATTGGTATTCACCTTTAATCGCTCACTGACTGCCGCAAGTTAAAAAAAAAAAAGAAAAAAAAAAAAAGAAAGGCTAAACTTTAGATGTTATTGCTCGATCCATTCTGACGTAGATGCTCCTTAACTATTCTTTGTTACTTTTTTAAAAGGGTATTCACTACATATCATGCTCCAAATGGCTCTAAAGGCTGTGGTTTAAAACAACCTCGCCATACTTTGAGAAAAACCAAATGGAGGAGCTTAGTAAACCTATGGTACTTTGAAAATCAAAGTTGCTTACACTCATTTTGTTGCACATGAGGATTTGTGTATAAGTTAATTTTAGATAAACTTTTTTTTCTGGGCTCAGGTGATACGTCTACCGCGTAACGGTCAACAATCATCTTTTATTTTCTCTATACAATGACAAATTATTATTAAATACTATTTAAAATGGCTATTTAAGAAAATTCTTCACTGTCCCCTTTGGTTTACAACATTAAATGTATTTATTTATTTTTTTAAATCCATGCTCTTTGCTGTGAGGTTTATAATGTTACTATTAAACCAGCTCCTCTGTGGTAATCCCTCAAACCCCATTTCGTGCCCTCAGTGCTCAGTTTTGATTCATTACAAAAGGAAAAAACTGGTGCTTGTTTACTTCAAACATTCTTCTTTTCAGGCATTATTTTATCCCCATCAAAAAACAAAAAGTGTAGATATTAAAAATCTTTTTCATTCTGTCTGTGCTTCGTAAGGCTGGGCAGTGAAGAGCTAACGAGCTATGGCTAAAAACCGGATAAGGCTAGCCGCCAGACTGCCAAAAAAGGCAAACGTGGAGCCAGCTATAGCTAGCTGACAGATTTAAAATTTGCTAAGCTAACTGCTAGCAAGTCAAAAGGTAAATAGCTAGCAAAGGGACAGCTAAGAAACATGTAGCTGTCCAACAACAACCAGTGCCAGCTAGCAGTTAGCCAGCTGACAGGCACTATGCTAGCACGGTAAAAAAAGGCTAGCTACACTGTAAAACAAAAGCTAACTAACAAAGTTAGCTACCTAGCAGGGAGTGGGTTCTGCTGGGCTTTTAACAAACACCACCAATCTACCCCTAACTAAAACCCAACAAACTTTTTTTCCACTCTGACATAAAACAAAGACTAGAAAGCTAATCACTGCACAACTATACCTTTAGAATTAAAAGGATATATCAAACTTAACTGTCAGTTAACCTCATAAACCTCCTTCATAAGGCCCTACACTGTGTTTGGATATAACCTTGTAAGACTGAAGCTGTTAAATTGATTAATCAAACCAGCTAAAAAGATTCTGTACTAAAAACGCTTTAAAAACAGCCTTGTTCCCCCGTCAGCACCATGTTGTTGATGTGTTTGTGAGTTTGGAGCTACAGAGCGGTATAGTGAGTTCTGATTGTCTGAGTGGCGCTGCAGTCGGGTCCAAACAATGTGCGGTTACTTCGTGTCTCACTGCTCAAAATGTAAAACTGAGGATTTGAGGCATTCCTGAACGCAAGCAAGTTCATCTAACTGGGTTTTGTGCGGCGGAGTAGCCAATCCGCACATTTCCATGCCGTGTTTATTCTGAATGCACCCCAACAACGCTGAAAAACCAAACGTTTGTCAAACTGGACGAAACCAGTTTATTTATTCGGCTGGTTTGCCATCCTCCCTGCAGCGAGTGGGGTGCATTCACTCTCAGCTGACCAGTTTGGGCAGCACTGTCCTCGGCTGGATGTTTCCGTTGGCGTCCGTGATAGCTGCTAAGTTAGTCCTGGTTTTTGAGGAGGATGACGTGGTGGTTGAGGTGGTGGTGAGCTTTGAGATGGAGGTGATGGCGCCATCAGTAGTGGTCGTGCCACGTTTGGACGATGAGGTCTTTTCTCCAGCCGTGGTTCCTGACGGAGGCTTTGGAAGCCGCCTCCTCAGCCACGGGTGCCGAAGCGCATGACTGGGCGTGATCCTGAGTGCCGGGTCCCACTCTAGACACTGTTTGAGGAAGTCGATGAAGTGCACGTCATCGCAGCCCTTCAGCGCCGTGCTCCAGTCCTTACTGCCCGGGGGGCCGCGCATTTTTCCCCGCCGCGAGCGCCCGCTGTTCAGCACTGTGGTGCCATCGGGTAGCGTGGTCACGGTGCAGTACCGTGGGTAGCCTTTTGATGACACAAAGTTTTTTGCTCTCTTGGAGCCGTCAAGGAGCTTCTGAGTGGGCATTCCCAGGAGTTCGATGATGCAGGCAAGCTGGTCAGCTTCATCTTCGCCCGGCAGCAGGGGGTAACCAGTGAGCAGTTCGGCAAGGATACAGCCCAGAGACCACATGTCGATGGGCATCCCATACCTGGAGCCTGGAAGAGAAGAAAGAGGGTCACCATCAAATCCAGCCTGTGTCATTATTGGCTAGTCGGTCAAACAAAAAGTAAAGCAGTCACATTCAGGAAGTCCAAAGACAGTTTCCTGCGATTAACTGCTTTCAAGAGTTTCCTGAAACATCAGAATGAAAGTAATAATAACTATATCTATTATTAAATTGCAAAGATAACTTGATGCACATTAATTTTAAAGGGAAACGTTCGTTTGTTTGTTTGTTTGTTTTTTTAAATCGCTGGTTGGTTCTCATTTAAAGTCAGAATAACAAGCTTTTATTCTGTACATTATCTTAAAAGTGAAAAAAAAAAAAAAACGCCCTGCTGTCAGAGCTCAAAAGCGATCACTAGTTTGGTTAAAAACCTTTTTTAAAAAATTAAATACGTAATTTTATATATATTTTATTACTATTTATTTAAAATGTTTAAATCAGTTTCCCTAAATTCAGTCTTCTTCTATATTTTTAATATTATTTTTTATTTAATGGCTTTTATATCTTTATTGAGTAATTTATAACGTGCCAGTTTATTTTGTCTTCCATATGTGAAAGGAAACGCTGCTCTCAGTTTTCTCAATGTTTTTCTTACCCAGAATAACCTCCGGTGCTCTGTAGAACCTGGACTGGATGTAGGTGTAAACCCTCTGATGTTCATAACAGCTGGAACCAAAGTCTATGACCTGAGGAGAGAAAGAGAAGCAGTTTGAAAGGGTCTGTGAAGTGAAGAAAGGGGATTTTCCTCTGATTCGTTTACAGCAGCTGACCTTGATGCCGCTGCGTCCCTGCTGCTTCAGTAAAATGTTCTCGGGCTTGAGATCGCAGTGGATGATGCGATTCTTGTGCAGTGCATCCAGACACTGTAGGATGGAGTGGGCAAACTTCCTGACCAGCGGGAGGCTGAAGCCCTGAAACTTGTTCTTCTTGATGAGCTCGTACAGGTTCATGCTGAGGAGCTCGAAGGTCATGCAGATGTGGTTTCGGAAGGTGAAGTTCTCCAGCATGTGGATGACGTTCATGCTTGAATCCTTGTCCTGCTTCTTCAGGTGCTCCAGGATGCGGATCTCCTCCGCTGCCTGCCGGTGGAAGCGCTTCTCGTTGCGGACCATTTTCAGAGCCACATGTGTCTGAGTCTTGTGGTCAAAGGCCTTCACCACCTGCAGGAGGAAAAGGAAGAGCATGATGCCGTCATTAATCTTAGATTAGATATTCTTGATGTCAAAAAAAAAACAAAAAAAACAAAACAAAACAAAAAAAACAAAAAAAACACCAACTAAAGTCTCGGAATAGAGGAGTATGCAAAGATATTTTTAATATTCATAGTTTTCCTGGTTCTATTCTACAACTGTTATTTCTCTATTAAAAAATTCATCTTAAAATTAAACATGAAGACTCATAACCTGATAACTAAAAGCTCCTTTTGTTGTGGCATTCCTTTATAAAGCAAACAAAGCTCAGCTGCTAAGCTGTGTAATAACCATCTCTACTGTCTTTGCTACAAACTACAACATCATCTGGAATCTTCTGCAGGCATTAAGGTTAAAAATTATTACCACAAAGACGCTAAAACTTGTCATCACTCTTAAAAAGTCAGGAACTAAACATAACCGCAAACAAAATTTAATAAAAAGTCAACAAAAATAATCTTTAAAAAAAAAAAAAAAAAAAGACAAAAAAATTCAGAGACTAAAAACAGGAAATTAGGGGGGGTCAGCAGTCATACCTGTCCAAAGCTGCCCTTGCCGATGACCTTCAAGACTTCATAGCGATATGCGATGTGGTCATGTGGTACATGGATGTAAGACCCCTGATCATCGTCATAGCCCCCGTTGTTGGCTCCACCGAGGACCCCCTGCCTCTTCTTGGCATTCTGGCCAACAAAATACACTGAGGAGGAAGCAGATGATTGATCAGTTATTAGTGGTTCTCTCCTGTCAATACACCCGACCTCTAATCAATCAGAACGACCATCTGCAGGCGGAGTGGTTAGGGACACTCACCCTCGGGATAGCTGAACATCTCGTGTTGCTCGAATGACGAAATTTTGGACATGAACTGCTTCATGGCCTGCTCCGGGGTCATGGGGTTGACCTTCGGCTTGCTGTCCGTCGACTTGTTGGAGGCTGCGCTGCTCTGGCGGTGGTGGTGGGCAGGCTCTGACGTCGAGGTCTGCCGGTCTGGCAGCGGCAAGCCAGGTCGGGACGAGCTGATTGGAGCCAGCCCATTGGGCTGGGAGGTCAGCACCGGGCGTTTGTTGGTGTTCTCCTCATAGAGCTGAGTGACGTGGCCCTGCGACTGCGATGACAGCTGGACGGCGTCCGACATCGCAACTTTAGAGCCTCCCTGACCGAAAACAGAGGGAAACATTGGCTAAAAATAAGAGAGAGTCCTCTGCAAGTTGAGCCGAGGAAACCGAAGTTTATTTAAAAACAGTAACTAGCAGGTGGCCACTCGTCTTTGGTTTAAGTTTAGATTCTGGGACTTTATTTTTCTCCTTTTAATTATTCATTTTCTGATGTGTGTCATCCAAATATGGACCTGGATGTGCGCTCTCAGAGAAACATGGATAATTAACACCCAGAAATGAGTGAATTAGACAAAAACTATTCCCGGAAAGATGAACTGTGTCCGGGAAATTATCCCCCTCTGATTAACAGGCGGCTCCGTCTCCGTCTCATTGTCTCCCTTTGTCTCCTGCTCACTGAGTCACTCCCCGTTGCTGTGGTGACCAGCACACCTGGGTCCTTTCAGATAACAGAGGTGCTTTCTCACACTCACACACACACACGGCAGAGCGGCTTGGTTCAAAGACCTGGTGCTTAACACAAAAACACAGTAAGTGTGTGTTCTCGTGACCCGGCAGCTGAGGACACGGTGGCACAAACATGAGGATGAAAATCAGGAGATGAAACACTCACACAAACAGGTTTGTGTGTGTGTCTCAGCAGCTACAGTGACATATAAGATGACATGTGGCTCTGCTGACTCCTCCCTTACCTGACTACACCTCAACTCAGTCAGCCAAATGTTGCTTCTTTCCTTCAAGGATTTCCATTATTCATTAATCTGCAGATTATTTATTTTTATTATTAAACATACATAAAAAAGCTAGGTGTAATATTTCCATGTTTTTAAATGGTTTTATATAAGAGGGCTGGGAAATGAGTTCTTTCAGGTGAAAGGTTAGCCACTGGACACCCATCTTGAATTGTTTCCAGGTACATATTCAGGCAGTTATTTTGAAGAATAATCAACATTTCTGTTCATTTCAATCGTTACTGAGAAATAAAAACTGCCGGTACAGAATTATCAGTCAACTGTGATTAAAGAATTTGCCCCAATATACGATTTTATTTCTTCCAGGGTTCACTTGTCGTTGGGTTGCCCTCATTAATATAATGCAATAAAATTCTTAATGTTTTTATATGCTGAGCTCTAATTTTATTTATTTTTTCTTTTGTGTACCATATTTTTCAGACCATAAGGCACACCGGATTTAAGGCACACTAATGCAGGTAAATTACTTGAGGCTGGAAGATCAGTTTCTGACAATGAATATTTGCTCCTTGATTAAACATGTGACTTTTTCCAAGTGATAAGAAGCCTCCGATTTGCCGTCCTGGACATCAATGTTAATGTCTGGTAAGAGATTCCACTGACGTGCCACAGGAAACGTCATTATCATGTACAAAAGTGGCGATAAAATAAACAGAGCAAATAAATGATGCATTATTTCTTTTATAGCATTAGTCTTGTGTGTGCGTGTGTCTGCTCTTCACACCAGCCTATAAACCATTTAGCTGTTTAAAGCATCCTGGCACAGGAGGCTATTATTAGCCATGTGGCTACAGCAGGCTGGTGCACAGAAGTGCTGCTTCTTGGCGCTAACAGTATGCTAACACGCCAACACCGACAGATGACTTCACCAGCTTATTTCTCCCAACGATGAGCCAAGATGAACGGGACAAAACCCTGAGCTGCAGAATCTGAATCAAACTCAAAAATCACGACCTGCACGAAGCTGCTGACCACAAAGGTCTGAGCAGAACATCTGCCGCTAATCTGTTCATCACTTTTTCTGTTATTCACCTGCTGATGACTATCAGAATAAAACCATGTACCTGAGGCACAATAGCAGACTTAATGTTTATAATTAAACTGGATCAGATTCACATTCTTCTTGGTAACAGCTTCACAGTTATTTATTTTAAAGTAGGCATTGGTGTAGGGCTGGGCAATATGGCCTAAAATTCATATTGCGATATAATTTGAAGCACGTGCGGTAACGATATATATCACGATATATTATTTTCTTCTGTATAACATATTTTCCACACTATAAGGCACACTTAAAATCCTTTAATTTCCTCAAAAATCGAGAGTGTGCTTTATGTATGAATTCTGGTTGTGCTTACTGATCTCGAACTGATTTTGGCGTGCAGAAATCTGTTAAAAAATGTTTTAGTACAACTTTGGTAAGCCGCACTGCTTGATGGATTGTCAGAGCATTACGGCTGCCGTAGTGGGGAGCTTCGCAGAGCAATCTGGGTCCAAAACTCCGTCCTCTTCAGGTCCCAAAGCCAAACAAACACTAAGAGTTAAAAACGGTCTAAATTCTTTCATCTTTAATTAAATCATCAGCATTGCTGCTTTATCGGGTGTAACAATTAAGTTTTACATCCATGAAAACAGAATTTATTAAATTTAACGGAGTTAGAAGTTAACAGGAAGTTAGCTCACTAGTTTCCACCTAAACATCTCATACCATGTTCTGACAGAGATTTTTGAAACTAATTAAAACGTACAGCTCTGCTACCACTTCCGACATAAATAAAGACAGAAAACTAAACAGCAGTGGCGTTTGCAGGGTTACTGAAGTTGGACTACCTGGTATATAATGTTGTGCTACGTGATTGCTAGCGACACAGCTATGTTAGCATAACATTAGCACAGTGAAGCTGGAGGATGAACGCTAACTTTTTTCCCCCACTCAATAAAAGTTAACGTGAGATTCTGGTGGTCAGGGACAAATGCAATCGCATAGCAGAATGCTATACACGGGCCAAACTTCAGTCAGGAGAACAACTGAGATTATTCATCCACAATATGAGGTTAGTTATTAATATACTGCAACAACACGGGAATAGAACAGCTGCGAGAGAATTCAACATTAATGAATCAATGTTACGGAAGTGGAGGAAGCGCAGTTTTTGGCTTTCCTCATATTTCAAAAGTGCTTCATCTCTTTGCTATGACTGTCGCCCGCCATAATTTGCAGATGATAATGGTTTTAGCCGCTGCGATGCTTTCGACCAAAACAGGCACAGCTTGATGACATCATCAACATGCGCGATAGAGATTTTGACTATAACGCTCTATCGTTGGCCAAATTTATATGGTTTCTATCGTATATCGTTTATGTCGCCCACCCCTACATTGGTGTAGTTCATCCACTTCCTTTAATCTCCTGATTGGCAGCCTCCCACAAACAGAAGATCTGAACAGCAGGAGGAGAGTGGAGCTTCTATTCAGCTCAGCAGACTGCTCAATTTTAATTTCCATGTGTATTGTAAGGTAAAGAACCCCAATGGTCAGGTGACTGCCTGTGAGCAAGCACTCTGTGATGGTGGAAAGGAAGAACTCCCTATTAACAGGAAGACACTGTTGGAGGGGAAGCCATCAACCCCAATTTGTTGAGAGCGGAAAGAGAATAGGGAAGAAAAAAAAAAAGAAGAAAAAAAAAAGGAGAACCACACAGTAAAAGAGGATATAAACTAGTCTGAGGTACTCAAATGACCTTATTAGTGACATTCCCTATTCGTGACATCACACAGAGCCAAGAGCAGATAAACAAATATAAAATAATTGCCCTTTGGGGATAAATAATGACTTTCTGATTCTGATAGAGCGATCTGAATGACTTCTGCATGCTACCATCGTTGTTCAAAACCTTGTTAGGCATCTTTTTTTCAACTTTTTCTATCATCATTATTATCCTGCCCTTGCTCTGTGGTTCATCCTCTGTGCTGATAGACTACCGAGTCTCACCTGCGTTCACATAAAGCCAATTAGGGCGGCGCACGGCTTGCTCTCTCCCCTCGCTCCCTGACAGCCTGCTGCGTGCAGGGTTCATAGTCTTTTTCTTCTTCCGTTTGTTTTACCAGGCGGCTCTTTGAAAGCTTTTGTATAATAAGGGCTTCCTAGAACTGCAGCAACACTGTCACCTCAAACATTAAAAGTAGGTAAAGCATAATTGGCCTAGTTGGAAGAAAAATTTTGTATTTTGGTAAAAGAAAACACAGTTTGAGTACTAATTTCATCAAAGCACATTTACACAGTTTGTGAATTTTGGTTAAACCTAAATGAGCAAACTACTCAAAGTTCATCTAAGTTTTAAAGATTCTGAGATCAAGAGGAAGAAGTCCAGATACTTAGGCACGATATCCGCTTTATGCTCTTCACATGTGTTATTTTGAACACAACAATGACAAAGAAGTGAAAATAATAAATGATAAAGCAGTGTGCAGACATACCGTCAAATGATGGTGGTTACTGTTGCGAAGTGGGGGCAGGGCGGCAGGCGACGTGGCCTGAGAGCCGTTGTGACCGGGAGAGTAGACCGGCTCGCCCGTTTTGCCTGAAAGAGAGTGAGAAAAGATGATTATATGACAGCTTTGTTATTGTCATGTGTGTTTTAATGCCTTTTACATCATAAACACCAATGCCTGTGTTTCAACTAGTCCTGCTTGGACAACAAACAAACAAAAAAAACAAAAAAAAGAAAAAAAAAGGTTTCTTAATTTGAGTGTTTTAGCCTCAGGAGGAAGCCAAGATGAATTTTTTTTTTTGAGTCATAGATGGGAAACCTGACGAGTTACACAACCTTTATTGGGCAGTATCACGAAAATGAAGACTAAAACTGTGGTTTTAAGAGGTTTTAGACCAACTCAGCACTGTGCTGTCTACGAAGATAAAATGAGCTGAATTCACACCATGGTGGAGGAATGGGAAGAATGGAAAAGCCTCCAGTTATTCCAGCAGCACAGGAGCTACAGTTATTAACTAAATATCTTGAAACAATATCTGTAAACATTCTACAGACGCAGCTCCACATATGTGAGGATCTGCTGATTTTTATGCAGTTTTTGCAAGAAAAGTTAATCTGTAACTTTTCTTGCAAAAAACTGTCATAAAAATATCACCATTTACTTACTTATTTTTAAATCTGAATTAGCTTAGTATATCATTTTCAATTTTCACCTACTTAGACATGCTGATAAAACTCAAACAGCTTAATGCCCCAGTTCTCAATTTTAAAGAAAGTTATCTGCATTTGATAAGAGCTGTAAGAATAAAGTTAACTCTTAATCTTCTTTTTTATTTCCTGGAACAAGAGAAATCTGACTCCACAGCTTTTTTCTGTGATGCTGTAGTCTTTGACCTTGTGTACATTTCCTGTTTGTATTGTACCATCTAATCACTGCACCAAAAACCCTTTTCACGCTGCCACAAGGTAACAAAGATGATGTTCTTCTGGTTTTTGCAGTTGAATTGCTGCGAGTAAACTGCTTCTAACATTTATTTTTATTTAATAATTTTTATTTAATTGTTATCCAATTAGCTAATCGCACAGCAGCACCTCAAAGCACTCAGACATGGTCAAGATGACCTGCTGAACGTCAATCAGGAAAGCAGTATTTACTCAAATAACCACTCATTACAACCAAGGTATGCAGAAGAGCATCTCTGAATGCAAAACATGTTGAAACTCGCAGCAGATGAGCTGCGGCAGCAGACCAGCAGATCTTTCGCATCCATTTCTTTAGATCCTGGGATGATTTGTTGCTTTTTGAGATCTTTTAGGCTACTTCACTTTATCATACAGGTTCTATTTAAGCAATTTAATAATTCAACAGATCTGGCAGAAATCAGACAATAAAAGTTAATTTATGACTTAGAGGGGGTAATTACTTTTTCACATGAGATGAGTTAGCTTTGGATACGTTTTTTTTTCTTAATGAATGAAATAATCATTTAAAAACTGCATTTTGTATAGAGATCGAAAATGTGGCGTCATTTCCAGGGTAAAACCGCAAAGGATTGTGGGTACAAGTGGCTAGCGCGCACAAGACAGCAGTCACACAGAGATAAACAGAGACACAAAGAATGGCAAGAAGCTGTTGTATTATTAACTGCTATAGCCAGTCGCATGACAGCCACTGGAAGCCAACGGGTAAAGCAATTGGTTTTTATCGGATTCCTTCGTGGAAGAAAAATTGTTCAAGTCATGTTTCCGAAGTCACGAAGAGGCAACTGAGGGCTTGGATTGCGGGGTAAATCCCGAAATGCACGGTGGTACAAGAAATCCCTTTCACTGGAAAGAACAGCGACTGTCGCTGCCCCCTCTCTCTTCCAGTACTCCAGAGCGAAGATAGCCTTTTCGTCAAGTCTGTCTGTACGGACCTGCCGTGTTCTCCTTTCATTTTGTACATAACTGTTTTCAGAGCAAATAAAATGCAGGTAGGGATTAAAACCGCAGAATTAATGGTTACTGGTGCTGGAAATGCTAGCGCTTGCAGTGTTTTAATTTTGCTGCCACTCGTACTTACAATGCAACGTGCGAAAGTCACGTGGTCTGTCGATCTCTATTTACCCGGGTTATTTTTGTCCAAGATTAATTTGGTATCTGAAACATGTGAAGGTGACGAATGTGTAAAAACTTTGTGTTGACACATACACAAACATACACATGTGCCAAAAATAAACCTGTGGGAAACACTGCAGTCTGTACAGTACCATGTAAATACAGCATAAGAAAGCTTGAAGTGGCTGAAAGCTTAGCTACCAGTCCACATGTAAACAGCTCATTGACCATCCTGCTAACTGCCTTCAAATAGCTCTGGACTGGACTGACCCAAAGCAATCCTGTTCATTCTGGAGTCAGTCCTATAGAGTCTAAGCAGGATGAAGGTTTTAATTTAGCCTCGTAATCTCCAACACAGTGCCTACCTCTCTGCCTCTCCCTCTGCAGCTTCACCTTCTTTAATAGCAACATGACGACAGCAACACGATGCACGGGTCAGAGGTCACAGTGTCTTCTTAACTGAAGAGCCAAAAGTTTAAACAGCCGCTGGGTGATAAAGCATGTTGGACTTTAAACAAGACACTTATCAGCTTTTGCCGCTGTCAATGGTTCATGGCCCGACTCAGAGTGACGACGTGAAAAAGGAGAAGCAGGAAATCAAAACTCAGCAACCAGCAGAGTCTGTTAACTTAAGAACTGCCTCTGAGGGAGCAAAGCAGTCACTTTCACATCACTTTTAAAGGGGAACCAGTGATATAAACAAGAGCAGGCCAAACATTACCACATACTGATTGCACAGGGTTAATACGCAGATTTCAAACAGCTCTGACCTGAACCCCCGAAAACGGTGACAGGACTCCAAGGAGTTTAAAGGGAAAAGGTGTCTGACAACAGTCAAAGTTTTCATGTCTTCTCTGCCACTTTGGGTCGTTCACAGGAAACGTAACTAACAAATGAAAACATAAAGCAACAAAGAGAAGTTCAGTGGCTGACTCTTCTCACCTCCACACAGCCAATCAGGACTTTTCACTGTGAGCTTCAGATTGTGTTTCAGGAGGTTATAGACACAAATGCCTGCAGCACAGATGGACGTGGTACAGGATACTTCCATGTGCTACCTGGGAAATATCACATGTAGAGGCTCAACTTTCTCAGGATAAAATATTTTTAAAGCCTCATTCTGAAGTAAAATCAGCATTTATCAGATTTCACAAGTAAAGTTGGTTTCAACAAAAACAGCCCAAACTCTGTTTTGTATGGCTGATCAGTAAGCTAACCCACCCATTATGTTGAGTCATGCCTGTGAGCTTATTTCTGTAATAATTCAATCATCGGTGAATCAGAAAGCTCCAGATCATTAAAATATTTTCCGAACAGCTGGAAATGAAAATCAGAATCTTCCGCTGGCTCGTCATGGAAACAATAAATGGATAAACAAAGAGGACCCTTGCAGGCCACCGTCCAGTGACTTTCTGTGTCGGTGCAAGTTGAAGCAGGCAGATGGACCGGACTGCTGCTCTCCGCCTCTAATCCAAACTTAATCCCGCTAATGAGGATGACATGGAGGGTGAGGCAAAACCACATCGGCAAGCCCACAAGGCATGACGCAGGACGCCGAACAACTGCATGATGAAGTCGGAGACTGTGGACTAATTTTTGTTAGTCCAAAACTAAAACTTTTATGTAACACTGGGATTTTAAAAAGCCGCCATTTTTGCCTATTTGATTACATTTTATTGGAAAAAACTTTTAATCAGTTAGCCAGAAACACTGTAGTCAGATCAGGGCTCTAGACTAACTTTTTGGCACAGTTGCACTGTTGCGCCCAACTTTTTTTTTTTCCCCTTTCTTAGGTGCACCAGCACAAAAGTTAGGTGCAAACAAATTTTTCATCCGCATCGCTTAACACCGCAGCTTTACACATTTCTTTTTTTTTTTTTTATAAATTGCTGTCCATACAGACAATATTGATTTCTAAATGATTAATAATCTTGTCAACTAGGGCTGCCACAAATTATTATTTTGATAGTTGATTAGTCACCAATTATTTTTGCACTTAGTCGACTATTCAGATCGTGCATCCATTGGACGTAAAACGTACAGCTTATTGCACCAGCATGCATCTGCTCTTATATAACTATCATTAGTTTACAGCTTTAAGTGTTTAAGGTATGTGCTAACTAAAAATAAAGACAAGATGATGGTTTATTAAATTTTAATGGCAACTGCAGATTGTTTCGGTGGAGTTTAATAAACTCAGCCGTCTGCTCCTTGCTATCTAAAATATAACTGGACAATGGGAAAGAGCTGGATGAAGAAACCACTGAGAAGGTGTGGTATGAAACATGGAAAGAACATAAAAATACAACTCAATCATTAAAGTGGAGAGAATTCATCTGGAAAAATCAAATTCACTACTTTATTACACCTAAGATTAAAAATAAACAAACCAATACACAACAAATGGCCTGTATTTATATAGCGCTTTACTAGTCCCTAAGGACCCCAAAGCGCTTTACATATCCAGTTATCCACCCATTCACACACACATTGACACCGCGTGTATAGAGCAGGTAGTGCAACAATAGAAAAATAGTTGCGGGACGGCACTGTGTAGCGTTTGTCTAGGGTGTTGATCATTTTCCTAAATCCCTCGTTTTGCACAGTGTTGATGGGAGCCATATCTTTGGTCAGGTGATAAGTGATAGCCTCCGTAATTTCTTTGTGCCTGTGAAAGTTCGACGTGTATAGGGAAGCGCTGTATAAGGTTCCTGTTATTGATGTTTGGGTGGTTGACCGGGACGGATTTTCTCCTGTCACTTTCTCGTCATCCCTGACGTGCTCTCCGTTGTTTTTTCCCTGCTAATTTTAGCATCACACCACAGCTTCTAGCTTTTAGTTAGCAGTTAGCATTAGCAGCACATCCTGCGTCCAATGTGAAAGGACTTTTATGCTGCGCACTGTGACTCACAGCAATGGTCCTGGGTCAGCCCTGACTTTGTGTTAAACTAATCCTAAAGTAATAATGGTATTTCTAACCACTGATATACCACAACTTTTTCCTTTCAACAGCTACTGAAAGTTAGGGGACCTAGCTGCTATCGGATATTTATATAGCAATCCTCCAGCTTCAAACTGTATCACCCTTCAAAGACCTGCAGTTTAAAAAAGCGCCCCTCCGACAGCCAAACCCATCTGTTCTCTGATTGGATTGTTACATTTGTGATTGACATGACATTGACCAATCAGATGAAAGGAAGAAAAATAGGGTCAAAATCCGTACTTGTAACTTGCAGGGTTTTTTTTCTAAGTCCACACACACAAATCTTTTTTACGCACACACAAATCTTTTTTACAAGTACAAAATATTTATGACCACATTTTGAGCCCATATCCTTGCTTCAGTCAGAAAAATAAAATTATCAGCCAATAAAAGCATTAAAAGCAGAGGTTAAATCTCCAGAGCAGCTCAGGCTCTAACTCAGACCATCCAGTGTCCTGCTGGGCTCTCAGCCCTTCATCAACTCTGCAGGGGCTCCTGCAACACGTACTGATAGTGTAACAGGGATCTGTACTGAAGGCGCACACAGCCTCCCTCGCTGCGCGCCCGACAAATGCATGCTACCGGAGTGGAAAAGCAGCGCTCTGAATGCAAACTCAACACCGAGCTGGAAATGCCAGAGAGCCGGCAGGCATGCTCGGCATGCTGCTCAACCGGTCGAGTGGGAAAGTCAGCGCTGTGACGCTCAGCAATGTCACAAGCCAGCAGAGGTGCTGGAGATATAAAAGATGTGGGTAAAAAAAAAAAACTACGAAGCTCCCAAAGTCACAGCATGCTGTCCCTCACAGGGTCCTGTAGATGACTCACTGACATTTAGTTGAACTTCTACACTATTCCCTACTTCTAACACTGTAAAAACAGTGAGTGAAGTATCATAAAAAAAAATTTTTTTTTAAAAAACAGACGCCCATGGCTGGGTGTTAATGACACCCAAATTTAGCAGCACATACAGCTGTGGAGTCAAAGTCCCTCAGTTTTGAAGCTGCCGATTGGCTGTTAGGACTCTGGTTGGGCAATCCACTAATGTAGAGGTGTCAAACATGCAGCCCGGGGACCAAAAGTGCTCAGCCAAATGGTCCAACAGAACCTGGGTGGCTTTACAAAGTGTAAAAATTGCAGTAAAGCCATTAATTACTTGTATGTTTTTATCAACATATGCTGCTGTTCCTTTGGTGGTGTGCTAACATTACTACGCAGGAGGGTAAACAAACTGTTTCAGTCATGAAGATGTAAACTGACTCGTACTGCTGCTGTTCAGTCACACATGTGAAGACTTTTCAAACTGTAATTCATCCAAACTCGACTTTTAAAGAGCAGCGGCTAAACCAAGAGCTGGACTAAAGCATCAACCTATCGCCTCAGGAGGCAGGTATGTGCTGGGTATTCATGTTTCTGTTTAATTATGGAAATCGGATGCCGTCATCATACTTATTCAGGCTGCCTCGCCTTTTTAACATTTCACTTCCCTTTCAGCAGCATCTTTTTATTTTAAAGCCACAAATTCAGCCACAGTTTCACTGTTTGGACTTTGAAACCTGATTTCTGGGTAAAATCACCAAGAAAATTAATATCAGAAAATTCACAATTTCACCTATTTTTGCCCTTTAGAAGTCAAAACTAGTCACTTTATGGCACAGACACTCAGATACATGAAGATAAAGACAGGGAAACTGGGGAAACTCGTGTTAAGAAACAAGAATTAAGCAGTAGTGCATTCAAATGGAAAACAAGAACAAATCAGCCCGATGACATCCAAACTTTTCCATTTCAGAATCACTGTTAATTAGCAGCAGCTGGTAAAAACCCACATTAACGAGGTTTGTCGATCTATCTGCGAGAGTGACGATCAGCACTACTTGTAAACAAGCAGCTGTGATGTTTTCAAAGACAGAAACTCTCTGAATGTGGGTATTCTGATAACCAGGCACCATCTGCTTTGACACAGATAACCGAGACAGTTGCAAACTCCGCCCTCCTCTCAAAAGCACCTTTTAAAACCCCGTGTGCTGCTGCAGCAGAGCCAGTTTAACAGACATTTGTCAGCACGCAGTGTCAACATTACGACATCCACCCCATGCTTGTTGGTGTACAGTGAGAAACTGGGACACAGATCTGGAAACAGTGCATGAACTGGCACAAACTGCCAGCACACAGCAGGAAACAGACTCTGATTCAAGCAGCTAATGAACTGATTATAAAGCAGGTGGTTAGACAAGGATGAGGGATGAGCAGGGAAAGCTTGCTACAAGTCTGACAGTTTAAATGACAAAAACAGGACTGTGATCACAGAGTAATTATACTCTGTATCAGCCACTGTCTAAACTTCATTACTGACAGCACATCGCTGGCTGTGAGCAAATGACAGCAATAATATCAGAGCTATGTTACATCTGGCTGCCTGCCTCTGTTTACATCACTGTAACTGAATACAGCAATGTGCAATCAAACTCAACTGCAATGTCTTAGTTCCTAAAGATAGCATAATACATTGCAAAGCATATACTTCATGCTACTACACATAACACCCTTACATTATCCACAAGACAAGCTTCAAATAAATTTGGCACAACTGCCTGACATACACGTTGCTGTATATATGAGGCCTAAAAAGGTTAAATTACCTGTTATTTATTTCATGAAGCACGTGATATTTCTTTTAAATATGTTTATTGTAGAATTAGAGTGAAGATGAGTTAACACAGTTTGAAATAAACTTGTGAAAAACAACTTAACAGTAACAATAGTTGGGTTGTTATGTAAAAACAAACAGAAACAGGCAGCACAACAAAACCTAGATATTATTACCAAAATGAGGTATATGCCAACACCAATCAAGTAAGTCAAAAGAACTACTACTACTGTGCCAAGTTAATAAGAGCAAATCTTGAAAACAAGAAATACTCGTTTCACCATGCACAACACGTCCCTACATTATCCTCAGATGCCATAAGGACGTACATACATGCATGTGTATGTATACACATACATGTGTATATATAGCCTGTTTCAGTTTAAGCGTTGTTTTCAATAAATTGCATCCTCAAAAATGTTTTGTCTCACTCCCATTTCTTCTTGTTGAAGCTCTACTTGAAACCTTGTTAAGATCCAACAATGCAAAATACAAATCCCACTCAAGTGATCTTAAACTGTTGTCTGGGACTGTAGTTTGTGTATGTGATTCTACTCTTAAACAAGGGTTGTTTGAGACTGGTGTGACTGTTACTAATGCTCAAAAAAATCCCACAAGGATTTTTTTGTGCTACCAGTACGATAAAGAGTAAAAATAGTATGGTCCACAGTACACGACAGTAAACAACACAGTCAAAATAAAATTGCCACAGGTGACCGGTAAGGGCCTTATACTATGAGAGACTGCAGAAATTGTTCGATTTACAACACTGACAAAAAAAAACAACAAAAAGTAAAAATGAAGTTAAAGGTGTAATTTTTACTTTAAAGGTAAACCTCCGTTTACATTTTGTGTCGCACTTTTCAGCGTTTTAGCAGCTGGATGACATTTGTACACAAGTCAATTCATTTCCACTGAAACTGTGACTGCAGCAATCACAAGTTTTTTGCACACTAGTCGGGGTCTTTTACCCTAGCAACAGGAGAGTTGCCAGGGGACCTACGTGACTGACTTTAGCGATCATTTTTCCAACGATTGCCATAAAAATCCACAAATTGCTCACAAAAATTATATTCATTTTCCACCTCACAACTGGGGTGATTGGGGACTTACTTGATCCCTTCCCTTAGTTATCACACATCTAGAATGGTGGATAAGTTAAGTCACATGGTTAGTGGTCAAGAGTCTCCAAAACCTCAATAAGCAAAACATAAAGCCTGTTTTCCAAAACCCAGTAACCCTGGTTATCACCTTGTCAACCAAGCTAGTTGCTGAATAGTTCCCTAGGTAACCCCTCCTGTGGCTACCATTAGCTTTTACATCCATGTGTGTATATTTAAGGCCCAATTTCACTAGCCAAGATTAGACTACCATTTTATATCACAGTGTGAATTACATTGGTACCTCGCTAACCAGGCTAGCTAACAACTTCCTAGCACAAATATAAACAGATTTTCCATGAGCAAAAGTTAGAACTCCAT